AGCGACGGCTTATTATATGTAAAATTAATACATTTATTTATGTGTAGGTAAGTACATGTGTACATGACGACACATACTCGTGCAAATGTTAAATCCAAACAATGAAATCAAATGATTTAATTATAACAGACAATAAAGCAACAGAATAATTGCGGCCAGTAACGGCAGTTGCAAGGGTTCTGCTCTGTCATTGATGCTGCTGCCAGGGATGTCCCTTGCTGTTGCTGCTGCTGTTGCTGTGGCTGTTGCTGCTTGCTGCTGATGTTTCCTCTGACTGCCCCAACAACAGTAAGCTTTCGGGGGGCGGAACAATAACCACAAAATACGCCAGACAGCGAGTGCGGCAGGACAGACACTCGACAAACAGCGGCAGCATCCCTACCAGCAGCAGCAGCAGCAGCAGAAGCAGTAGCAACAATGAATTGTAATAACAATACACATGCAACTGCCACGGCCACTGCCACTGCCACTGCAATAACAATTGCAATTAAAATGCGTGTGCAAAAACAACAAGCAACAGCAGCAACAATATCAACATTTAGCAGTCAGCCAATAAAAAATAATGCAAATAATTCACGCCACCAACAACAGCAACAAAGGCAGCAACAACAACAACAACCGCCACAGCAACGAAGGCAACAACATGTTGTAAACTGTTAAACAATTGATTAACAACAATTAGCCGCTTATTAAATCACAATAACATCGCTTCGACACAACAGCAACAGCAATAACAAACGCAACAACAAAAACACAAAACAAAAACAAAAAAAGCCAATTCGTGCAAACTCGCATGCCAATGCCAATGCCAATACCCATGCCCCAAAACGTACACCCAATACTCGCCCCAAGCCATAACCAGAAATACCAACGCCACAAACGCAGCACCAGCTCCATTACCACGCCCCAATGACCGATGTCCGCCCTCTGATGCGGCTAACAGCTGCATGTGGACAAGTCAATCGCTTAGAATATAACGCGCATAAATTATTGGCACCCATCCGTATCCACATCCACATCCACATTAACAGCCAACCACCCTCCTCAGTGCGTGCCAGCAATGCGATTAAATGACGTGAACGGTTTAACCAGGTCGAAGCATAGCACACAGTAATGGGGACACACAGCCACGTTGCCAATTACTCACGCATTATGTCTAGTTAGAGCTGTTGTTGGTGTGCTGTGTTGGCCAGGTTGGGTCTGGAAGCCACCAGCCACCGGGCCTGCTCTGAAGGAGCATTGGACAAACTTCAAAAGTGTAGCATACTTATTGGCTTACCTTCGGGTGGTGGCTGCTTGCTGCTTGTTTGTACGCAGTCAGACGGAAAGAAACGCATGCAAATTTTAAAACAACACATGCTGACAGGCAGGCAACAGGCAGCAACAGCAACAGCAACAAGGAGAGCAGCAGCAGCAGCAAACAAAAGCAGAAACTAAAGGCTGGGCCTGGGTCCGGGCAAAAGTTGCAAATGGCTAACCGCAAAATGGGCGACAAATGTGAAAAGTTTTTTGCTTTAATTTCCGACACTGCCGACTCCAAATGGCCCCCCGATCAATACGGCCCACTCGCACATAGAACACATATTCGCACAAGGGTCTAAATTTAACCAACATTCAGACACTCAGAGGAAATGTTGGGGAGGGGCAGGAGGGATGCACCCGCTCATTGACACTCATTAATGTTGACCTTCTTGAAAGTAATTAAAAGTGACCCTCAAGTATAATGCTCAGTAATTTTTCAATATGGAGAAGAGAACCATCCAGAGACCATCCAATGCAGACTGCAAAAGTGGCCACAAATCCGAGCAACCATCGCAATCGCCATCCCATCCCGAGGGCAAAAACCATTTCCGTAAGCAATTTATGCATGGCGATAGTTTTCGCACACGGTGTGACCCATGACAAAACACATACGTACATACAAGCAAGACCACACCCCCCCGCCCCAAGCTCCAACACCCCAACACACACAGAGAGGTTCAAGGAAAAGCTGCAAACATTTTGGTTAACGAGACTTTTAATCTGTCCAAAGGTATTTAAAGTTGGCTAAGCCCCAACTCTGACTGACTTTTATGGTTACGGAGCAAGTGTCAAAATGTTTGTTGACGACAATGACCGCCCCCCAAAGCCCCAGACCGAGCCCAAGCCCAAGCCCAAGCCCAAGCCCAAGCCCAAGCCCATTCCCAGCCCCTCCCTGACAACAAGGGGACACCATGAGTGGTAATTTATTTTGCCCTTTGCCGGCAGCAGCACTACCAGAAACAGCAGCAGCAGACAAAGCAACAACATTCCGCACAAAGGACACAGCGAGAAGGTAGTCCAAGGTCCTGGTCCAGCGCTCAAAGCCAAGCAGCAGACTTGTCGAATTGCACGTCACCCCCCCCAAACACACTGCCGCACACGCACACATGCAGAAGGTTATGGGGAAGGTCCTACATTAGGCGCTAATCTTGATTTTCCATGGGGCGGACAGGCGGACAGGCAGACAGGCGGACAGCCGGACAGGCATAAAAAAGGCAGCGTCCCGTGTCATCTGGCAGTGACAAGAAGCACCACCCAAGGTTAAGCAATTGAAACAACAACAACAACAACAACAGCAGCAGCAACAACAAAGCCCAAGTCCCCAGTTTCAGTCCCAGCCACGCCCCACAACCACACACATGACACATGACAGGGCTCCAACGGCAGCTGTGTATTTTGTTTTTTTTGGGTTTTGTATGGGGGGGGTATCCAAACCAGCGAGAGATTTAATTGAGCAGGGGATCATAAACCCTTACCCAACGAAGCTGCAAACATTGAGAATGATTCGATGAGTCAGCATTAGCAGGAGAGCACAGCCAGCCTTCGGCTACGGCCAAGTCTGGGCCAGCACCAACACTGACGTTGATGGCCTGTCAAAAACTGGGCCCAATTCATGGCCCAATCTAAAAGCCAATGCCTGGTATGCACAGTCCATAGCGTCCGAGCGTGTCAAATGCATGCCCTGCAAAGCGGTCAAGTGCAGTGTCTGGCAAAAGCCACTGGCCGCCAATTCGGGCAATCGGATTTTCCCAGGATTTCAGCTCGTTTCGGGTGCCCAGAGAGTTGGTAAAAACTAAACAAAATTTTCAAAACTGTTAGTTAAGTAACTGCTGGATTAATTCCAAACGTGTGTAAAGACGAATCACATACAGAAATGTGCTCCACTGCAGTGCACTGGTCTCTCCTTTGTGTGGGTGTGTGTTTGTGTGTCCTTGATGTATCACTTCCGCTGTCTGTTAACTTACGAGTACGGCCATAAATACGCTCGGCGGCCAAGAGCACACGCGCCAAGCGATCCAGCGATGGTAGCGATGGGAGCACCCGGCATTCAGACCATTTAATAGCAACACGTCTTTCTGGTATTTTCACACGCTTGAGCATCACATTGGATTCAACGTCACGTTTTAGTGTCGGCCCGCCCCCACACCTCCACACCTACCACCCACACCCACACCCACATCCGCGACAGCAGCCCAGCCTCCACTCCACTCCCGAATGACAGAGGCGACGCCTAATATGCTTATGTTGAATGGCTGGCTAGCTGGCTAGCTGCCTGGATGCCTGGGTGGCACACACACAAAAAGAGACAGACAGACCGTCGAATTGAACCCTTTTTCGCTTGCCATTTTAAAGTGCCCCAAAAACAGGGACCAAGCGCCATGCCACACATCGCAGCAACAGCAGCAGCCACAGACCCACACACACGCAGACATTGGACGGGTGTCAATGTTGATATTTCAACTACAATATTATTTTCACTTTTAGACAGACGAGGACGAGAGCGTAACCAAAGCATACAGTTAGTTTATTTTGGAAATTATAATAAGCCACTTTGTGGCGCAGCCGCCGCCGCCGCCGCCAACGCCTCATCCAGCGGTATCATGGGAGTCAAAATGTGTGTGTTTGCCAAAAGTTATTCCAGATTGAACGTGCCGTCTGACGAGTGCTCTATGCATGCCCCGGTGCGGAGGTATGTCCGACACATAACTTTCTGTGCACCGTCGTCGTCGTCGGCAGGCACTCTGTAGCGGCGAGTGCAGGATGTCGATGGTCTATCCTGGCCCAGCTAGTGCGGAGGAAGTCAGATTGGTCGCACAGGGGATTTCTCAACGCAGGACACCGAGTGGAGTGTCTATGGGATATGGGACCTGGGATATCTATGACTGCACTTAATAAGATAAGCCGCGGCCTCACTGCAACTAATGTAATTTGTACGGACAGAGCCGCCGACAACTTGCGAGTGCAGTCGACAGCATTTCCAAATTCAATCAACCGTGGAAAAATGCCTCAGAGTGCATTCGTTGGGTCTGTCCCCAACCTTGTGACGGTGAAGCGGTGCGCTGAAAAAAAAATGCAATTAAGCCCTCAGCTTGGCAGATACCGAGCTTCAAAGGAGCTCGCCGGGAAAACGGCACCAATGGATGTCTACCCTGAATGCGGTCACTCGAATAGTTATAGAGATGGCTTGGACATATGGACGTGGACCGCACTCCATTCCATTCCATTGCCAGAAGAGGCAACAAGCAGTAGAGGCAACGTGCCCGACAGCACGACAAATGGCAAGGATAATTAGGATTATGCCCATTACGTAACTCTGGTCGAGCGGAAAACTAATTTGCAGCAGAGCTGAGGTGGCCCTTGCATCGCGAGTTCAATCTGCCAAACAATCCCAGTCCAGACCCACAGGTTACTGGCCCAGTAGGCGACGGTACGAGACGTCCTTCTCTCTCATAACTCTCCAACGACCTTCTAGTTTCGTATAGCCAGATCTTTCGGGGACAACATTAGCTTTGAGGTCAGATCCGCAATTGCTGGCTATTTTGATGGCATCCTGTTTCGACTACAAGCTGACTCTCAATCTGGCTATAGAATATCATTGCGTATAATGTCGAGTTTACTTATCGTATTAACAAACATATACTCGTACAGCCAGGCTGGGTATAGTAAAATCTGTATTAATTTTTATTTTTGCGTGATTTTGGCACGTTTGGAAGCACCTCCAAAGGATGGATAAGTTTGTGCAACGCCAACCGTCCCAAGCTTCTACCGGGGACTGCCCGGACGTATCGCAACCGACGACTTCTGTCAGTTCAAAGACCAGCCAAGGGCCTTCTATAGTAGCAGAAAATGATAAGACCACGCCTACGTCCATGACGGACGCGCGTCTGCAGCGTGACCTCAACAGCCGCAGCGCTTTACTTCGAATGCGTGCCATTTACGCTCTCAAGTAAGTTAAATCTGCATCCACGTTCTAGAGAAATTAAATTCCCTTTTTTTGTCCCGCAGAAATCCTACCAAAAACGCATACACTGTATTTGATGTGCCACATACCGAACAAGATCTTATCTTTGACGACGAAGGAGAATCCTCCGATTGAACCAAAACGGCACAGTGGGATCTTCGGCCAACTCAGTTTAATAGCTTCTAAACGAAAAGGGATGTCTCCATGAAATAAACTGCATTTGAAAACAAGAATATTATTTTATGGGATTTTGTACCTGCCCTTCTTGCCCGTTTTTCGTGCGAGGTTGCGTCAATTGAATCTATCTAGAAGCCAAACCGCTCCGAACCGCGGAATGCCCTTTTGAACTTGAAAAAAGGAAAATTCAAAGAACATATAGAAAACGAGGGGGAACGTTGTGAGTTGCTGCGGAGACCGCAACTCTACATTTATACCCGAAACCCGCGAATTTCAAGCGACACGACAAAGAGTGCGTGCGAGAGAGACAGAAAATCAGTTGTGGATGGGGTGGGGCGAAATTTTGAAACAAACTCGTCAAGGTTCGATATCTCAGGAGTGTGGATTAAAAATTTGGTTGATCTAGCTTTTATAGTCTCTGAGATCTAGGCGCTAATGTTTTACGCTAAGCAAAGCCGGCTATGCTACGTGTGTGTTAGAGAGAGACAGGGCGAGAAAAAATTAAATTGTTTTCTTGATGCTGGCTATAATAATAATACGATCTGGTTGAGATTTTGCACACTAGAAGATATATCCTCATCCTCTACGATTCTGTGTTTTTAGTTTACTCGTATCTATAAATTTGTGGATGCCACAGATTTTCGCCCTTTGTGGGGACGGAAGGGGGCGGGGCAAAGTTTTGAAATATACTTGTAGCAGTGACATATCACAGAAGTCCGGATAAAAAACGTCGTTGCGCTAGCTTTTATAGTCTTTGAGCACTAGGCGCTGATAGGGACGGACCGACGGACGGACTGACAGACAGACAGGGCTCAATCGACTCGGCTATTGATGCAAATAGAGAATATATATACTTTATGGGGTCGGAAACGATTCCTTCTGGACGTTACACACATCCACTTTTACCACAAATCTAATATACCCCAATACTCATTTTGAGTATCGGGTATAAAAAGTCTCGGGGGAGAATTTAGATGGTGATTTTTGTAAACTTAAGTCAAAGTTGAAAAACTGGCTTCATATAAGATAGTGTGAAAAATTCGTTTTTCTTTAGAACTATGTATGCAACGAACCAGTTGTTATTAGTATTGATAAAAACAGAAATATCGACTTAAAGATACCAAAAACCGAATCATACGTTACATAGTTTACTTTTTATTCCACCTGAAAGATGCATTAAGTGAATAATAGTTGACTGAAACAATTTTTAACTTTGAGTGCTCATATCTCCCAAGCTAAAAGTCCAATTATTTTATAAATTCGATTTTTGAAAGCTCAGGAACTTCTCTATTAGATGTGTTTATTTTTTCTATGCAATTCTCCATCTCTCTATCTCTGCTTTGAGTTTTGTCACCTCGTTTCGACTGCTGGCCCACTGTGCGCTGGCGACTATTTACGCCCAACTTAGTGTTTGCGACCACACCCCAAAGAGCAAATGTATTAAATAAATATGTAAATATAAACTCAAAGCATCAGCAAATATGTTTATAGTGGTTTTCTGCCAGTACAAATGTTTATTTATGTGCCATGTCCAGTTCATTTTAGAAATTGGGAGCTAAATAGCAAACGCGTTTGAATTGGAAAGAATCTTACGATTTGCGAATACCGGAGAACGCAATACTATGATTTGATAGCGGAGTTAGCTGACAGATACATTACCCTCACCTGTGAATACTGCATATGCGCATCAGTTGCAGTGGGTTACTTCATCGTGGGACCCATCGGTTGTCTGGGAAATGACCGAGGCTGCCCCAGCTACCATTGACCTTCACCAAGGCTGAGCTGCATCGAAATGAGAATTGTTGAAATGTTGCCGCGGGACGCGAGGGGCAGTGGCAGCCCCATTCGCTATCCACTCAGCGCAACTTTTATCATAAATTTGAGAGGCCCGCAACTGAAATAAACGGGGGCAGTGCTGCGAGTGCGGAGGAGTTGCTGAGTGGGGTAATGTGAATATATTACCAGTGGTCCAGCACTGAGCCCGCCTGGGACACCCTCTGCCACAGCCTCTCAGAGACAATGGAATGCCTGAATGTACTTGTTGGAGCGGAGGCAACAGTCGTCTTAAAGTTAAAGTATTATTGTAAATATCTTGAAACGACTTTCGGGAAATTCCACACGCCCCTTGCACCGATCCCGAACCGCGTGCCAAATCCCCGTGCAATCCAACCTGTCACGGCGGAAAAGCTTTGCTTCCTGCTCCCTCAGGACAGATAAGTTCAATTTTTCAGCGCTTTTTCTTTTGAGCAGTGCTTGTGTCTCTCATATGCGAATCAGACAAAGGTCAGCTGGGTCGCAAGCCTGAATCGGTCCTTAGCCAGATCGCATCCATCCCTATCATCCCTATCCCTATCCAAACATATCCCAGACTGATGACGGCTACCAGCTGGAGTCTGAATCTGAAGCGGGACTCTTGTCCATGGCAATTACCACACGCTCGGCCTTGCACTTGGCCGATGCGATGACAGGCGGGAATCAAATGTGTCATCAAGTGCCAGCACTCTGGGGTTGCTTTGCGTGGTTTGCCGTATGAATATTTAATGACTCGTATGCGAGTGCCGGACTTGGTCCTGGTACTGGTCCTGGTCCTGGTCCAGGTCTGGCTGTCCTTGTCCTTGCCAGAAACCTCCACACACACGGACAATGGACCAAGTCGTAGCTGAAGGCAAAGCCGGTGCAGGGGCACGGGGCTTGGGCCAGGGATATTAGCAATGCAGGTGCAGGTGCCGGTGCAGGTGCAGGGTAGTAGTAGACACTGACTGGAAGTTGTGCTGTAAAATCTTACAGTGCAGTTTATGCAAAATTGCCGATAGCAATTTGCAAATTTAATGGCGTGAACAAATTCAATCAATGTATGCAAACAAAAACAGAGCAGGAGCGTAGCCAAAATGTCCTGAGGGGCAAAGCAGTATACGGAATTTACGGCTTCTACTACGGCTTTGTCTCTGGCATTTTCGAAGCTGCAGCTCCTCCGACTGAGCTCTCGACAATCGTGAGTCGTCAGAATGGTTTTCGGCTGGTACTTGGATTCGGCAGTCCTGGGCCCTCAATGAGTTTTAGTTAAAACTGCAAAAGGCAACAATAATCAATGCTTGGATTCGTAGTCCATGACCGATAAGTAATATGTATGGCAGTCCATGTCCCCTGTCTGCTATCTAAAGGCAGTCAGGTGCCATAATTGTGTGGATGCCCTGCTCCTACGGGAATTTTCACAGCTGCTGCCTACTGCTTCTACTTCTCACATCACATAAATCTCAGTGCTTTGGCATTTTCCCGCTCTGAAAACCCATAGGGCTGATCGAAATTTGCTAAAGTTGTTAATTGTTGAAGGACAATTAAAAGCTTGTGTGGCCACAGACGCAGAGATACGATTGCCTCTCTCTTCCATAATGGTCCTGCTTTCCGGGCTTCCTGTAGCACGCAGGAAATGTTCAAGCTGCTGCACGGTGGGTGGGAGTTTCAGTCTCAGTCCCAGTCAGATTCTGAATCTGTAGGTGAATATGAATGAATGTGGGCCGCTTGGTAAAATATGGAGACTATTTTTTGTTCGTTCCGCACAAATTTGTCTTCAGTAAGCGGACAAAATGACAAGTCAACTTAAAAACTTGGTCGAGGCAAAACCCCTCCAAAAGCTCTCTCTCACGAGAACCATGGTCTGGGAGTCTACCCCGACCTCGTTTTGCCTGTCATCAGTATGGAGTGTGGAGCGTAGGGGCAAAGGAATATCTTGTAAAATATTGTAAAAAGCAGCCTGCAAATTAATGATAACGGCCCCGACCAACACCTTCAACTCGGCAGACACCCGGGCACGCCGGCAAAGGCAAAGGCAAAGGCAAAAGCATGGAAAGGCTACGACTTACTCGTAAGTGACATGAAACAACCAACTACTTACTTGACGGCAGGACGAGAGAACGGGCTCGAGAACCGGTGCCTGTGGGAAGGAGAGTGAGGGATACCAAACTTGACAAGACCAGCACCCCCTGTCGCCGGTTGGTTGTCTGGCTAAGGCTGCGTGTAGCGGTTGAGGCGGGTGTAGCGGGTGTTTTGACTTTGACTTGACAAAGTGCACCCGGAATTTGTCTAACTGCAGAGCGCAGTAGACCAAGTAAGTAATGCTTCCTGTTGCTACACTTCACACTCCACACACAACCCACTGTTCCTTTGTCCCCCACACACCTACACCCACTTACGCGTTTCAGTTATTTATGTGCGGGAATTTTTCATATGCCTATCAGATCGCCCCCCAATGACTGGGATGATTGGAATATAGACGCTACGACACTCCGGATCAGTAGGGGTAACAGTCGCCTCGACTGGCGTTTCCAGTCAGTTATTACTGAAAAGCAACATGAAAATAAGACCGTCAAAATTTGTTGTTTGCATCGTGATGGTGATGTGGACGGTTTTGCAAAACGGCGTTGCGTCGCCGCCACAATCAACTGGCAACCGGCATCCGTCCAGCAGCAGGGATCTCGGCATGCTCATGTCCGAGTTTGGGTCCACCGCCGCCGACACCTCAACACTAGGACAATGGTCGGGTTCCAGTATGCTGGATCAGGACACGGAAAAACTGTTGAGAACAAATGGAAGCCATGGCAAAATGTCCGACTTTCACTTTCTGATCACAGGCGGATATCGGCCGGAGAAAAACAACTTGGTCAAATATGTGGTCTCTGTGCGATCAGAACAGGAACGCAAATTTTTTGGCGATAATCATTTTTGCGGCGGAGCAGTCATTTCCACGAAGGTCATTCTAACGGCTGGCCATTGCCTCTACAAGGGGTCTGTATCGGGTAGCTGCTTTTCTCTGCCACTGCAGCCATCTGATTTCATGCCTTTGCTTTGGCCTCTTCCCAATGCAGAACTTCCAGGATAAAGGCCAGCAGGATCAGGATCGTGGCCGGTACGCCGCGACGGTTGCAGCGCACAGACCAAACGCAGATCCGAGAGGTTTCTTCGGCAAAGCCCCATCCGAAGTACTCGCCAAGGCAGCTCAAGAATGACATAGGCCTACTCTTGTTAAAGAAAGACTTGAGCCCTGATGGCGAGTTCGTCCAAATTATTACTCTATCAAGCTCCTCGCCACCGCCGGGACTGAAGTGCACCGTCGTGGGCTGGGGCACGGTCATACAGGTTGCTCCAAGTTGGCCCAAGTTGGCCCAAGCTGCCCCACTTGCCGCTCCCTAGTTCTAACCTGTCTTTCATTTCATTCTTTCCCTCAGTTCGGTCCAACTCCCGATGAGGCCGTCAATGGTGATGTGGCGGTCAATGATAAATCCTTTTGCTCCTCGCTGGAGGGCTTCTCCAAGGGCATGATTTGTGCGTCGGATGCGAACGACCACGAGGTGGATAGCTGCCAGGGCGACTCCGGTGGTCCCCTCATGTGCAATAGCATTGTAGTTGGCGTCGTCTCGTTTGGTGCCGGCTGCGGCGAGCCCAAATCGGCCGGCGTCTATACGGATGTTTCCTTCTTTGGTGATTGGATAAAGTCAAATAGCAGCACTCGTAACGAGGTCGCCGTCACCCTTTCATTCGTCTTGATCCACCTACTGATGCTTCTGATCCATCTGTCAATATATGTTTATTAGATTTCACATTCTGTGCATTCATTTCTCTGCATTCAACAGGAGGACGTGGACGTGGCCGTCGCCGGCGTGCAGCTACTAAGTAATCACCGTTCGCTGCTCATCGCGGTGTACCTGTGAACCTGCAACATACAACCTACAAGCCAGCCAGCCAGTCAGCCAGCCTGCAAACGACAAACCAAAATTGACTAAACCAACGTGCACGGCCTGTCAGGCTCTCGCGGATATAGAGGACGTGGGAGGTGTCCGTGTCCGTGACCGGGCCCGTACCCGTACCCGTGTGGGGGGATGAGTGTGGAGCTGGGAGCCAATTGCAAAATGCGGTGCATACCGCCACATACACATGTGTATGTGTGGATCGTGGGACAACGGTTTATGGTTTCGCTGCAGGCGGATACATAGGTGCGCTGTTTGTGACAGCAATTATCGCATCAGGTCCAAACACCTGCCCCATGCCGCATGCCGCATGCCCCATGCCCCATGCCGCTACGTTCAAGCATGAACATTATGCAACAAATGGCAATGGTTAATTTCGCGCACTCACCAACTGTTGATTAGACCAATTAGGGGTAACAGTAGCATTCTCGTTCTCTTCCTCGTCCTCCAGCGACAGAAGCTTGAGTTCGAGTGGACTGGAGATTAATAAAGGAGCTACAGGAGGCACCCAACTAGAGGGAAATCTTTCATAAATATGATGCCGATGATTTTGCAGATGATTTTCTGCAACAGTTCAGAGCAGGTTCAGAATGTGCGATGGGATGGGGACTGTTCTGGATCTCCGTGAGAAATCAGTGCGGAAGTATGTTGATTTAATATCAGCAATGCAATTAGTAATCGCACACGCACACTCCAATCACTTGCACATACAATTAGAAAAACCGAAGAATAACAAGTGCGATGGCCCAGCCACAGCTCTTAGTCCTTAGCCCTCAAGCACACAAGTCACGAACAGGGCCCCAATGTGGGTGGCCAGAGCCAGAGCCATAGCCAGGGCCAGGTCCAGGCCGGCGGCAGACGGTGGAAGGCGGCAAAACAATGTTAAATTGATGTGGGACCGACTCCGACTCGACCCCCGTGTGTGTGTGTTTGTGGGTGTGTGTGTGTTTGTGGGTGTGTGACGAGGAGGCAACCCAGAGGCAAACACACACATGCAATCAGGTCTGTCATTTCGCATTCGTATTGTGTGTTGTTCAAGTGTTCATAATGAATTTAATCGCGTATGTTTATTGCTCACTTTGCTATGGTAGACTCTCTGCCCTGCCCTGCCTTTCTCTGCTCTGCTGTGCTCTCCCCCTCTGTCACTGAGTGTCACACAAAACACCCTGTGTGCCCCCACACGGAGCCCTAAGTTGGGTTCTGAGCCATCGGCATCGCCATCGCCATCGCCATTGCCACGGTGGAGTCGACACTTTATCATTTTGTCACGCTTCTTGTTTACCAAGTTGGCTCGTGAGCGGTCTCGTTCTTTTGCATATTGATTTATCATTGTTGTTGCTATTGTACTGGGCTCTGGCTGTAGACACGCACACGCACACGCACATGCACACGCACACGCAAACATTCAATAGACTGATCCGAGTCCCTTTTTGCCTGGAAGCAAAGCAAATTGTTTGCATATATTAGACACATGCCAGAAATTGCATTTCAAATGAACTTGCATTTCATTTGAGAATAATTGCTGTTAAAGTTGTCGTCTTTGTCGTCGTTTGTCTCGGTCTGATCCTTGCTGAATCTACAAGCCCAGTCCATGTCCGTGTCCATGTGGTATGTGGATGACCCAGGCTACAATACTTCAACAATACTTAACAATTAAGCACACAGAAGGGATTTGCATTCCCTCTCCATCTCCATCGCCTGCTTAACATTAGCCAAAGAGTATCCCAATCCTATAGCCAAATGTATCCCCCACCCTCTACTGGCATACAGGTTTCCCGGTGCGTACGGCTAATCGGCAACCTGTCGACGTGCTAAGTGCCAAAAACTACTCTTTATATTCCACAGGATACTCAGGCACACGCACACCCATCATCATCCCCATCCCCATCCCCAAAACCCCTACCCATGCCCATATCCAGGCCCCATCCACAAGCAGAGCATAGGCACACGCAATCGCTGAAAAGCCACAAAGGGCAGGCGGCTCCAATGATGAGATGAGCATGCATTGGTTGGCGCTGGGCGGTTTATGTGGAGCCCAAGCACACAGCAGACCTGAACCTGGACCTGGAGCCTGGAACCGTACGAACGGTTTACTCGCGATGCGTGCTGACAAATCGACGGCTAAGCCGAAACGTCAACACGTGGATAGCCAGAGCGAGAGACCGAAGCCAAACCAATCCAAAGCTCAAGCAGAGACTCTGGAACCACAAGCCGACCATGGACCCATCGCCACCGAGATGGCCATGTCCGGAGCTGGAGTTGGAGCTGGAACCGACCAAACCAAACCAAAATCACTATCAATTTGCGTTTGTAAATACATTTTAATGGCATTTCAAAGTGAAGCCGAGTTGACCCCGGCCATTGCCTCTGCCGCTGCCGCTGTCCGGTCCAACCATTCTCCGGCGGTAATCAATTTGGAAATTTAGGCGCAATAGTCGCGGTCGTGTTTTGAGCGGTGATTCGGGAAAGAGTAAGAGCAAACGCAGGAGCAGGAGCATCCACTGGAGCGCATGTGGGTGTGGGTGTGGGTGTGTGTGTGTGTGTGTGTGTGTGTGTGTGGGTTCGTGCTAGGGCTGGGCATAGGCAGATCCGAATGACACCGGAAATTCAAACTACTTCCTGTTTGTCGGTGGCATTCGTTAGTCGTGTTTCATTTTCGTTTGGATTTGCTTTTGGTCTGACGGATGATGGCTTGGCCTGCGATTTGATTTGTTTTCATTGTAACGAGCCTTTTATTAGCCCCAGTGCCCAGACCCTTCATCCTCTTTCCTTTCCTTTCCTTTTCCCAAGCCCTCGCCTCGCCAGCTCCAAATAGTCCCTCATGCTCCCATTCTATCCCATCCCACATCCACATCCATCCATGTGCCTGTTATATTGGCTCTATTGTTGTTGCTGTTGCTGTTGCTGTGTCGTTGTGGCGCTGTTCGTTAAATGCAAACACCAAAAGGGTTTTCAAAAACAACAATCAACGCCAGCAGCAACCGACCGACCGACCGTCCGACCGTCCAACCGACCAACAGAACGACCCACCCACCCATTCATCTGGCTACAGAGCTGCTCCACCGTCCAATCCGCCCACACCCCGGGCCAGGCCAGGGCGACGGGGCAGCCAGGAGGGAGCGATAGGAACGCCAACGGCAGGCAACCCGTTTCGATTCTGTTTGCCCAACACAGTGGCGGGACACAGCAGTGGCCATCTGCGCAGAACCGTCACGAACAGGAGGGCAAAAGCACCAGGCCTAGGATCTAGGCTAGTGCCCTGTGGTGTATGCTTTTTTAATTGTCTGACATTTCGCGTGCGGCTGTATGTGTGTGTGTGTGTGTCTGTCTGTGGAAGGAGTGGGTGCTTGTGTGTCTCTCGTTCTCTCTCTCTTTGTGTGTCTGTCTGTCTGTGTGTGTGTGTATGAATATTCCCGTTATTGTCAGTCTGTAGCAAAGCGATTTGCATACAAATTTGGCACGAAGTGTAAATATTTAAGCAGATACAAAGTGTGAGTATTAAATTTTTGATACTAATTAATTATGCATGTGTAAATTTTGCATTGAAAATTATTATAGCGCCATATTTTGGCCATATTTCCCCTCACCGCCCCCAAAGTCCGCTCTCCGACATGTAGTCCCGGCGCGCTTTCGGCCAAATCAAATCATATGTTTGACAAACAAAAATCGTAACAAAAACCTGATTGCCACCGATGCAGTCACCAATGGCATTTGTTTAGCAGACACCCAGGATGAACACCGACACGGACACGGACACGGACACAGACAAGCAGCACGGACTCTCGACTTTATTGGCCGCATAGTTGGACTAATTATGTAATTGGATTAAGCACTAGTCGCCCCCTTGGGGGAGAAGAGGAGTGCATGAGGCTTCTCATCCTCCTCATCACGTATGCACAGTAATTGGTGCGAGGACCAAATCAGACCACACCAAAGCCAGTGTGCTCTTAGACTTTTAACTCGCTTTGGGCCTTAAAATGTGACAGACAGAAGGAGCAGGAGAAGCAGGATGATGAGGTGCACGTGCAGGAGGAGCAGGAGTAGAAAGAAGTAAAGAAAGTGGAGGAGCGAGCCAAGGGCTCACGACACAACATAACAAAACACTTCCAAGGGCAATAATAACAAAACATTAGGTGCGAACAAAACGACCCAGCAAATAGACAAACATGCCAGGAGCTCGAACAAAGAAGGAGATACAATGTAACTAACGCCTCGAAATGGCGGGATTCAGTTTGATTGGGATTGGGATTGGTATTGGAGACGGAAATAGAGTTGGAGATGGAGCTGGATTTGTGGTTGTTGTTGTGGTTGTGGTTGGAGCCACAGCTCAAAGCAAACACAATGCGAAAAAAGGATATCAAACAAGAAATTCTATTAAAACTTTTTCACTTTTCGCCTTCAATGTCCTCGTCCCTGTCCCTGTCCCTGTCCCTGTTCTATCCGTAAGTGTTTGATTCAAAAGCCAAATATGCCAATAAATAATTTACTATATACACGTACAGAGGGGGTACATACACCATGCCAGACAGTGCCACAGCGCGTCTCTATCCCGCATACTTAAAGCGCATTAGCCTGCTCGGAGTCCGAGTCCGAGAGCCAAACAGAAGAAAGAAGCCTTTTGGGAAGGAGGCAAGGCAGCGGCTGCATTGGAGATGATAGCCACCGATGAGAGAACGCTTAGGCCAAGTGTGGGAGGATTGGATTCGGTAGAGCACACACAAGCAGCGGCCACTGGACGAGACCCTAACATACCCTCTACACAATATCACCGCATACATAGCGAAAGATAAAGCCTTAGTCTTGGTCTTAGGGGCTAGTCGGTTGGATCTGGCCCAAGCTACCCTGCAGGAAGT